ATGAGCGTGTCTGCGCCCTATAGAGCGAGTGGCGTGGGGCCGGCGCGGCGGCAGGGAGCTCCGCAGTGGTGGCTGCCGTAGGAGTTACACGTGGCTCCCTGTTTCTCAGAGGAACCTAGACTCTGCTGTGAAGAAGTTAAAATGGCCTCCTGTTCATTTATAGAACAGAAACGACGAGAAATAAAAAGTTATTTTTTTAATTAGAAGTGAGTGAAATTTGTTTTGTAGACTCTTATCTGGAGCTGTGATCCCTGAAAAGGCCCCATCCCGCAGCGTATTACCCAATTATTTCTGTTAGTGGCCTACCAGGCTTGCCCTGGCTGTGTTACTGCCATATGATCCATGCAGCTAAATACGTGAAGGATATATTTAGCAATGGATCTTCTGCAAGACTTAAATACTTTTTTGGGAGTAGGTTTTTCACAAGTATTCATATTAATGCCCATATAAAAGTCATATATTTGTAAATACATATACTGTGCATATTTCTATAAATATTGAAGGAATTATCCTAATGAATGCTTGCTGATGGTGTTTTTTTTTTTTTTTTCCTATGGGACACAGTTATCTCTTGTGTGCCACCAAGAGTCTGAAACTTTTTTTTCTTGACTTTAATAGTATACCTTTTTTTTATTTTTTTTATTTTTTTTGCATTACCTGTAATGATTTAATTCATGCTATTGTGCATACTTCTTTAGTATGTGATTCTTATATGTTTTTCACCTCCATTTTAGGATTATGCTAAGGAAAGATATGGAGTGTCATCAATGATACAATCCCAAGAGAAAACAGGTCAGTTAAAAACATGGAAAAAAAAAGTTCAAAAAAAGGAAAAATAAATTATGTATTAGGTATTATCATTACTTGTTTGAAAAATGATTTTCCAAACTTTTTTATTCATTGAAATCCTATTGATATGCTTTCCCTTTATTTAAATACATTCGGTACTTAAAACTGTGTCCAGTTTTGGCCTCTCCAGTGCACAAAAGGCAGTGACGTTCTGGAACAAGTCTTGGGGTGGGCTTCCAAAATGGTCAGGAGACCAGAGTACAGGATCTCTGAAGAGAGGCTGGATAAGCTGGGCTTGTTCAGCCTGGAGAAGGCAGAGACATGATTCTGGGTGGTCAGATACTGAAACTGGACCCAGAGTGGTTATTGAATCTTCATCTCTATTGTTGCCTGGACAAGGCCCTGAGCAACCTGCTTTCAAGCATGAGGCTGAGCTGGAAACCTCCACAGTTCTCTTCCAACTTATGTGTTTTTAAGCTGTATTTTAGGATGGAGGAAAACTGAAGCTAAAAGTAGTATATGTGCATAGTAAATAGTTTGCTAACATTGGCCTATTAAAGCCATATTTTAAAGGCTGAACTGTATCTGAGCCCTGAACCTTCATAAATCACAATGAAAATGAAGAAAAGATCATCAGCTTAAAATAAACCTGAAGTAAGCTTGGATCTTTTGAAATCACTGGCAGTTTTTGTCTACATCCACCTGTATGTACTGCAGACTTAACTTTTTTGGATTTCTGATAAGATTGATTAACACGAAAAATATTGAGTCCTAGGATGTTTGTTTTGTTCATTTGTTTGGTGTAAGCTCTTCTGTAGCTTGCTGCAACAATGCTGAGTAAGAAATATCTCTGCTTTTTTTGACCTTTGTTACCTATGAGCATCAAACCCATCCTATATCTATACATATGTATCTTATATACATTTTTATCATTGCTACCATCACTGCAAATTCAGGAAACAATCATTTTATAGGGATGGGGAATTGGGATTTGAAAAAAATGGTAAGCTAGAGAACTGTTTCCCAGACCAGCATGCTAAAAAATCGTAATCTTCGTGTTCAAGGTATGAAGCAGTAAAACTGCAAAGTGAAAGAAGATGGTAGGTTGTTTTTTTGTATTTTCTTTGTAAGGATTTTTTAAAGAAAAAAGTCTCATCATTTATTATTACATGAACCTTTTTCTCCCCTGAACGACTGCTTTGGTTGACCTGCCTTAGGAATGGAAATGGAGAATATAGGAAGAATTAGAATCACCAAAGCAATCATAAATTGAAACCAGTTCAAGGGGGATCATCATGTCAAGAATGTAGCAAGATGAGAAAGTCACTGGATATTATTGAATAAAATAAGTATTAGCTATGAAGAAAGGGAACTGAAGTTGGCCTTCTATTAAACATAAGCCAGTCTAACTGCTGGCTGCTGTGGTTTCCATCTGCCTTGTGCTGAGTCTGCTGCTAATCCATTTCAGCATGCTTAAATGCTAATAATAATAATGACTTGTTTAGCCAGCTTAGCGGTGTGGAAAAAAACAGTTGGCTAGGATCCTAATGAGTACTGGAGGAGGCAGGAGCACAGCTGTCTCTAAGTTATGGCTTAGGTTGCTGCAGAGCCATAATCTAGACAGTACAGTAGTGAGAAGAACTGACTTCTCAAAGTTAGCATCTGACTGCAGTCTGTTTGATTCCTCATTCCCAGCATGTTCCTGTGATGGCTTTTGCCTTGCAATGATTTCTGCAAGTAACCTTGTGTCAGTTTTGTTCTCTGAAAGCCCCAAATTGGCAGATTCAGATGGTGGATCCATTCCTACTTTCTTGGAAGAGGCCTGCCCTGCTGACTGACTTGTATTCATAAGGAACACTCAAAACAGTGTGTGTGGGGGGCTTACATTCAGCAAGCAAATGGTAAAACCTATGGGAAGGGATATGAAAATGACCTGTTGTCCCCTTCGCCATCCATCCTCATAAAAAGAAAGTCTCAGCTAAAGTACAAGGTTGAGGAGTTTTTGTCCATTGTACTTGAGATAAGGCCTGATTCTATTCATGCTGTTTAGTTTTTTAGGTAACAAAAAAGCCTATAATTAAAATAAATCAGGGTAAGTCTAGTCCCTTTCTTAGGGTAGATAACCTCTTACTTCATGTGTGAATACTTATTGCCAGGGAGAGCTCTTGATCCCATCACTTAACTTCAGCAGATATGTGTGTTGTTCCCTGGAATATTCTACTTGGATTGACTGTTTTAGAGAAACTACTGTTACGGGAGGGAAGGCACAAATGTGGGAGTTCCCATCTGTTTCTGCCGTGTTAATTTTGTTTCTTTCTGAAGTTTATTTGGGTATGTGCCATTTTGAGGTCAGAATAATGAATTATGGTATGATATGTATGGATCCATATACAGTCTAGTGACTGCAGCCAACAGGCAGCACAGACAATACAGTGGGCAGGAAATGATTGATGTCCTCAGCACTGTTGGTCTTAGGTTACTGTAGTGGCTGTACTTTACTGGGGACACTAGCCAGATATGCGATGCTAAAAAGCTTAGACTGTCAAGGCAAATTGTTCTCCCTTTCCAAGCAATAGGGTGGTTGTCATTTTTCTGTACTCATAGATTCTTGTTCCTCTCCAGGTCAGAAAACTTGTTTCACTTGTTTCCAGTTTTTTCAGAGCTCCTCTGCCCTGCTAAACTGATCTCATACACACCTGTGCTTTCATTCTTGGCCCTCTGAAGTCTTTTTTTTTTTTTTTTTTTTTTTTTTTTTTTTTTTTTTTTTTTTTGTGCCCCCCCTCTTTTTGGTT